ATCTGTGGGCTCACGATAATGTTCCAGAGGAACACCTAGGTACTTTGATGGAGTCCGTGACCATTGAACATTCCCAAAAACAACTGGAGCAGTCGTCCACTCACCATGCCATAGCCCTACGCATTTTGACCAATTCACCGGGCAGGCAGTGACCTCACAAAACCTTTTGGTCAGTTCAAGAGCTTCTAACACACTTTGAGGGCCCGAGCAAAAAATAGCAACATCGTCTGCGTATGCCAGTATTTTAATGTCACATTCCTGTAGTGTAAAACCCCTAATATTTTGAGATTGAATGACACAGCGGCAAAAGGGCTCTAGGTAGATTGCGAAAAGCAAGGGTGATAAGGGACATCCCTGCCGCACCGAAGAGCGGACGTTGATCCCCGCACTAACTGTTTTATTAATTACTAGTTTAGTTTTGCAGTTTACATATGCCATCCTTACTCCCTCAAGCAGCACAGATCCAACTCCCACGTGTTGTAAAATAGAAAACAGAACATCGTGGCACACCCGATCAAATGCTTTTTCAAGATCTATCTGAAGTATAGCTACTTACCGATATTCTGCGTCACAGACCTTAGAGCACTTCGGGTAGTGTGTATGTTTGTGCCAATGCTACGACCCTTTATCCCACAGGTTTTGGTGCGGCCCTACTATTTTCCATATAACATGTTGCAATCTACTGGCTAAAACCTTCATTGGCACTTTATAGTCAACGTTGGCCAGGGTAATTGGTCTATAATTACTAGTACTACGAAGCGTATCGGCATCATTACATTTGGGTATCAAGACCGTGTGCGTGCGCAAGAAAGTGGTAATTCTTTCTTTTGATAGGACTGAGAAAAAACCCTATGCAGAACCGGTGCAATTCGCGGCTTAAACTTCTTATAGAAGGCCGTGCTCAAACCATCCGGTACCGGTGACTTGCCTACGCTTAGGTCATCTATCGCTTTCTCGACCTCTGATAAACTAATCGGAGCTTCTAAAAACGTCGTAGTATCGCTATCTAGCTTCGGCTGACTTTGCAAAATTTCCGTATCAAGCCCCTTTTCTTTTGGTATTTCCTTTTCAAACAAATGTGTATAATACTCAACAAAAGCATGCTGAATACTGTCCTGATCTCGAGTTACTGCCACCTCTGTACTCTATTTCTTCAATCCGGTTCCCGCTAGCATACTTTTTTTCCAACGCAAGTGCCCTCTTTGTGGGCGTTTCCCCGACAATCAAGTTCGTCGCACGGACACGAACGATTGCCCCTTTATATCTCTCTTCATCTATTTTCTCAAGCTTAGCCTTGATAGTGCTTATGTCGTCTTTGAAGGCTCCTGGCGTTCTCTCCTCCTCTACATAAGGCCTTTGTAAATCCTGTCGAAGACCGTTCTCTACCCTTCGCTATTCCCACTTTATGTTAGTTGCTCTTTCAATCGCATCAATCTTAACTTGCTGTTTAAATAGTTCCCACTCCTCACACATGTTATTTTCGGAAACGCCTTCTAGTCTGCCCAGCTTACTTTCAATTTTCCCTATCAATTCTTGGTCCTCAAGGAGTTTTGCGTTTAACTTCCACAACTCCCACGAAAAGCCAGTTGGTTTCTTACGCTTACCCAAAGTAAAACTCACCAAACTGTGAACGCTAAACGAGACATGACTTACCGCGAAGTCGTTACAGTGGGGTACTAAATCCGCTGTAACATATACCCTGTCAAGCCTGGGATGACCTCTGCCTTGGTGGTGCGTGTAAAGGACCCGATGTCCCGGTGTTATGCAGGGTGCCAGGTCTTCGAGCCCCCTATCTTGAATCAACCGGTTTGAAACTTCACTAGACCTACCACTATTTCGTCTTTGATTTGTCCGGTCTTCTGGCATACAGACACAATTAAAGTCCCCCAGCAATATCGTAAATCTGTCACTAATCACAAATCTGTCATTAAAAAAAAGCCCGTCGCTCACTCTCCACGTTTGGCGCATAAATGCACATAACCCTCCACTTTTGATTTAGAAAAACAAAATCGCAGAGAACAAGCCTTCCCGATTCACACGATATAACGTTCTCTTCAATGAGCCCAGCAGCTCTGCTCAAGAACAGACAACATCCTCCAGATCTACCTACAGCATACCTCGACGTAAACGGTTTCACCAGGAATTCGGTCTGACTTTCACTCTCAACCTTCGACTCCTGAACCGCCAAAACATCTAGGCCCCTCTCTAGGAGAAGGCGACTCAGCTGACATTGTCGGCGGCGTGCCGCAAGTCCCCTGACGTTAAGGGTCCCTATGCGCAGACTAGACGTCAGTGGTGCCGTTTTTTATTGCGTCAGACCCAGCTTCCGGCGATTACCCTCTGCGTCATATCGTACCAGGGTCGATACTCACTGCGACAGACCCCCGTCGCGGGTCAGCGACGAGGACCGCAGTTTGCTGACATAGCGCCCTTTTTTTCCAATCAGTTGAAACCACTGCTGTACAGGTGCGACGTTTCTCGGAGACTCGTCGGCCAGTCGCCGTTTCACCTTTGAGGGATCCAGTTCCATGGCTGGCTCACACTCGATGGCTGCTGCCTCGGTGCCGGTGCTCTCCATCGCCGTCACCGCTACTGCCTCCGGTGAAGGTTTTCCAGGCGTTGTCGCCAGCCTCTCTTTTTCGTTGGCTTCAGGAGCAGTCACCCTGCGCTTCTCGTCCTGGACTGTCGCCTCCGCCCTCTTGTTGTCATGTCCTTCGACTGTCGCCTTGTCCTGCTGTGCCCTCTCAAACAGCGTCGACGATGTTGCGGCCTCCTCTGCTTCCGCTTCACCCATGATGAGGTCGCATCCCTCGTCGCTCGCTCGGCTGACTATAGCATTCGCGTACGTAGTACGTGCGCAGTCTTGGGCCACATGTCCGAGGCCACGGCATTGCCCGCACCGATCGGTACACGGCAATCGCGTCGCATATGCCCTTGCCTTCGGCACCGCAGGCAGAGCGGTGCCCGCCCGAGTACGACAACGAGGATCGTGCCCCCCTGGAGCCTTAGCTGATGAGGTAGGTTCTCCGGCGTCTTGCCTTCCTTGAGTGTCAGTTTAGCGATCCTGGTGGTCGACTCGCCACTTCTCTTTGGTCATTTCGTGAACTGTGCCGTACTCTTCCAGTGCCTTCCGGAGTGTCGTTGGATACCTCGAACGGGACCCAATGTAACTTGGCCCGAACTTGCTGCCGGTTGGGGTTACGGGGACGCACAGCTTTCCCTTCACCGTGAGCCGGCCAAGCTGTAGCAGTTGTTCTTTCGAGGCTACAGAGCCACACGTGTCCCATTTGGCACACACCTAGCCCTGCTGAATGCTTACGCAGGTCCGCCTTTTCTAAAGGCTCCTTGAAGTCGACGATCCTTATAGGCCTGGCGTTTACATCGCAGTGAAGGTAGACTTGGTTTTTTCCCTGGGCCCAGTCGGCAACGTCAGCAGCACAATCCGATAGTCGGCAGGGATGCAAAAAGGCCTGTCACCACCGCCGGCGTCGGCTCTTATCACCTCGCTATCAGAGCAAGCCATCGCGCATCCGCACTCTTCGACTGCCGAGCGCTATCTGTCCTCCACTGAGCTACTGAGTTCCTTCACGCGTAGTAATGAAGCAGGTCGACTGTATGTCGGAAGTTTGCTGCCGATTTACCTTCAATACATGCACTCCCGGCTTGAGGTCGGGCAACACCACACACAGGCCACATTCGCACCTCGTAAAGAGACCGTACGCGTGCGTATTCAACTCGAAGTGCGCACTTCGTGCTTGACGTTTGAGCGAGCGATGTCTTCAGCCACGAGAAGAAACGACTCGGCGACGTCTTCGTGCAATCGGCTAGCTGGTCGGGCGTGTCGTACGGGATGAATATCAGTTCTTTTGATCGGTCCAAAATTTCTCTTTCGAAGGAATACACAATTCGCCGGTACCGTGAACGACAGTTCTGAAGTAGAGGTCCAACGCCCGTCGTCCGCTGCCATCCGCTAGCCCCTCGATACGCGAAACGACGCCATGTTGCAGTGAACGCACAAAATGCTTCCGGCTGTCTGTGCTACCTTTATTTTTTTTTCAATCAACGTATTTGCAGCTTTCTGGAAGTCACAAAAAATGGGTTTCATTTTTTTTTCTATTTTTAACATTGACTGTGTGGCTTCAATGACCCACGACTTTGATTAAATTTGGTGGTCGCGTCGAAACCTTAGAAAACGGCCCGTGACCACGGAAAAGAGAGTGAGCGCGACTCAAACCGGCCAGTTCTCGATCGGCGGTTTTCGGGCGGAAAGAAACAGAATTTCGAGCCGCAAATTCTGTTCTGGGTAGTTGGGCTCTCATATGTCACGTACAGATAAAAACCTCGGCGAGCATAAATACCCTGTCAGTGTCCCTTTAAGTGTGGCTACCAATTCAAGGACATAGCCTAGCGCGTGACATTCTAAACACGAATGTTTTGGTGACGAGCTAGGATGGCGAGTTACCGTGGCAACCAAGGACACAAGTCTCGTCGTAATGTAACGTAAGGAGCTGAGCTCGGTTCAACTTTTCACACAGCACCATTTTTTTGAGTTACGTCTAAGTCACCGAAACATTCGTGTCTCGAATGTCGCGTGCCAGGCTATCTTCTTGAATTGGTAGCCACGCTTGATATGCAGATATCTCAGTGGCTTGTACTGTACGTAAGCTTACGTAACGTAAGGAATCGGGGCTGTGTGAACTCCACACCAAGAAAACTAAATGCCTACGACAGCCTAGGGCACGCACCGGATACCTGACTTGAAAAGCGTTCATTTTAGTACATTTGCTAAGTTATACTGAAACGGAATATAAAAATCCTTTCAACGATCCTCAATTTAGCAGGTACTTAGCTGCAGTTCACCTGCCAATGTCAAATAGTTTCACTTTCAGAAGCAGCACTGCCGAAGTCACAGACACGAATGTGCACCGTGAGCTCTATCAAATGCCTCGTTTGCGCGGGCGCTAAGGGCACTTTCTAAGGCAAGGCAACACCCACACGACTTTCCAAAACGAGTTTTTCCTTTACTGAGACGGCGTAAACTCGGCCGCAATGACGACGAGCTGGCGCACCCGGTCAACGCTGCACTCCAACCACGACTGGTCCTGGCTGGCAGAGCCCAGCGAGAGGGCCCGGGTACCCTGGGCCGGGACCGCGGGCCGGCTTGCCGATGCGTGCACGGCCCGGACTCCGGTGGCGCGCAGCAGGGCCGCCAGGTTGTCCTCGCGCACGCCGCCCCCTGGGTGACGGAGGACGTCGGCAGTGCTGGGCAAGCGTCCACTGGACGGGGACAGCCACCGAGGGCATTCGGCTTACCTGGCATCAGGGTGATGCGACCGCGGCACTGGACAGAGAGAGGACAGCGCTCGTGCCACACACTAAGGAAATTCCCGCCGTTCACTTCCCCGCACAGTACGCGGAGAGATTTCGCATGAGAAGGCGGGTCGAAAAACGGATTTCGGTCGGAAATGCTGTCCGCGCAGTGACCATGAGCATGACACTTCACTGCATGCTTAAATATGCAGAAGAATGAGAACGACATGGCGTCTCCCTCAGACGCCCGACCTCCAGCACGTGCTCCTTGCCTTCCGCGGTAACGCGAGGCGACCCACAAGTGTTACCCAAAGTAGAAACTCGAGCTGAATCCCTTCACATCCTGCGAGTGACTATACGGTGATAAAGTTACTGCATCCTGGGAAAGTATAGCGCCAAACTCCCCGTATGGTCGCCATCTTGGTCCGTGAAATGAGCAATTTCTCCTCGACCCCTGGGTCATTCCATGTCAAACGTCCCAGACGTTCGCTCGACCACCTTCGATTTCTAAAAAAAAAAAAAAAAAGAAAAGAAAGAAAAATTAATGACCTTTTGATGCATTGTCCGTAGCCATGCCCTAAAATATTTTTGACGAAAAAAATTTTTTGATGGCGTGAGCGCGGTTTTAACTTTTAAAGGTAGCGTGAAACTAGGTATCACTCCATAATTTATGAAAAATCATCTTTTTTATGAAACACTCAACAATGATTTTTTTTTTTTAATCTGCACGGCTTTCCACTTGCAATGTGATTGGGCTTGTGCAGTTTTGTTTAATTTAAATTTTTTTAACACAATTTTGTTGAAAATTTTACCATTTTAGTTATTTTATTAAAAATATCTAATTGCTCCGGGGACTTAATAGAACATTTTACTGGCTGCCCCTGCAGGTATATAATCTATAAAAAATGTTTAAACCGCTCAATTAAATATCTCGCAGTAAAAAAAAATCCTGAAGTTGCCAAAAAGTGTGTTTTGACGCATATCGGGCGTTGTATTCTGCCGGACTGCCAGTTTGCCTGTTTACTGTACGTTTCTTTTCTTGTCATTTGCATAATGTCTGGGTCTACTGAATGTTTGGCATGCCTGAAAACATTGACAAAAGATACGCCGTGTATTGAGTGCGTCGGATGCGAAAATTCCTACCACGTAGGGAAATGTTCCGGTACGACCAAAACGGTGTTTAAAAACATGACTAGTGAAGTTCTGAAATCCTGGCATTGTGCCACATGCAACACACGCGCTAGGCGATCAAACAGTCTGACAGCAGCGGATTCGGTCAAAGCGATTGAGGGTGACCTGATGACTCAGGATTCCCAAGATTGTACCTTGGCATCTATCATGACTAGGATGTCAGAGATAGACAGAAAGTTGGCTCACGTGCTAGGAAAGATTGAAAGGGTGGAAAAATCGCTTGGTGCACAGTCGAGCAAAGGCGACGTCATGATGGAGAAAATCGAGAACCAGACTAAGACAGTGGAAGGAATGGAAAAGAGCTTGAATGAGCTTAGCACCAAATATGATGAGGTTCTCTCGACGCTAAAAACGCACGAAAACACAATGAGGGAGTTGAGAAAGAAATCAGAAGACCTGGAAGCGAGGCTAGAGCAAAATACCCATGAGATGATCGAGCTTAGAGGTGCACTAAGCGAGGCGGAAATGTACTCTCGTCGGAAAAATATTGAAATTCACGGCATAAAGCAGCAACGACAGGAAGATGTAATGAAGATTGTTCAGGACCTTGCATCAAAGCTTGAACTTCCGGTTCCCGCTTCCGAACAAATCGAGGCCGTGCACAGGCTAAAGGCCAGAGAAGGAAAAATCCCTCCGATCCTGGTTAGGTTCACGGAGAGAGTGAGCAGGGACTTGTGGACAGATAAAAGGACAACGCTCAGAACTGAAGGAGTATTCATTAACGAAAACTTAACTAGAGCTCTTCGGAGGCTGTTTTGGGATACAAAGAATGTGGCCAAAGAAAAGTCGTGCAAATTTGTTTGGATGCGCAATGGTAAGATATGTGTGAGGCAAAGAGAAGGAGCTGCTTCTATTCGAATTGACAATGCAAGAGATTTGAACAAGATTCGTTGAAATGGAAAGGTCATTTCAGTCATTCCCAGATTGGGATGTGTTTACACAACGTACAACAGTAGAGAATGAAAGTAATGCATTAACACTGTTACACATTAATATTAGAAGTCTGCAAAAACACTGGGATCAATTGAACGTTTATTTATTGGACAGGTTGAGTAAGCTGGATGTTATAATATTAACTGAAATAAATGTCGATGAAGCTGCCTGTCAAGGGTTCCAATTAAATAATTTCAGTCCACATTACTTGTGCCGCGAAAAACGTAGAGGTGGGGGTGTGTTGACGTTTGTCCGAGACGACTGGGTGTCAGAGCGCGTGGAGACCACATTTATTACTGCAGAAGTGGTAACAGTGTCAATATACCGGCAAAACGAGTCGTTTACAGTGTGTGCTGTGTACAGACCGCCCACTAATAGCATAGTTCCTTTTTGCGACGAATTAAGTACTTTTTTGAAAAAATTTAACAATAACCCTCACTTAATTTTAGCGGGTGATTTCAACATTGACGTTAAAAATCTGTTTAGATGTGGATCATCTCAGTACCTAGATATTTTAGCTGAGTTTGGGCTGGAAAATGCTATTAACGACTACACAAGATAAGAATGCCTAGGGGATAATATTACGCGGAGTTGTATTGATCACATAATAGTTCGAGTAAGTGAATTGAGAACACTATCTGGGGTGATCAAGCAAAAAGTTGCAGATCATTACTTTGTAATTGCAACACTACTGCAAGAGAAGATCTTTGAAAACTCCCGGGCCGAAGATGATAATGTAGATATTTTTGATAACAAAAATATCGACAGGTTAATACAAGATTACGATTGGAACCTGCTTATTGAAAGTGACCATATCGCTACATATACGCGACTAGTCGAAAAATTCCAAGAAATTTATTCTAACTCAAAAAGAAGAAAAAAAACTAAAAAAAAGAAAAGATAAAAACGTGTGGATCGATAAGGACATAATGGAACTCTGCTATTTAAAAGACAAGCTTTGGGCAAGATGTAGAAAAAACCCGGATAATGTACTCCTTAAAGAGGAATTCAGAACAATGAGAAATAAAGTAACGGCTACTATACGACTAGCAAAAAAGAAATATTACCTGAAGGAATTCAAAGACTGCAAAGGAAATCCTCGAAGAATATGGCAACTAACACGGCAGTTATCAGGTATAAAGGCTAAACAAAACGTTGACGATGTAATTGCAAAAAGCTTTGGAGAAACAACGAATTTTCGAGTCCTTGCGAACTCTTTTAACCATGCGTTTATTGATTCTGTACAGAATTTAAGAGCCATGATAAATAAAAACAGTGAGATTCCTGTCGATATCGGAACCAGTGTAAACTCAGCATTTTTACCTTCGATGACGGAGTACGATCTGGAAAAAATACTTTCTAGTATGTCTTTATTCAAGCCAGCTGGACATGACCTGATAAGAGTGCGGGATCTTTACTGTAACTTTTATAAACTAAAAGGTGTTTTGCTTTCAATTCTCAATTGCATATTTGAAAGCGGAAATATTCCAGACGGGATGAAATTGTCTATCATAAGGCCAGTACACAAAAAAGGATCTAAAAAAGAGCTAACAAATTATAGACCAATATCCATACTTCCAGCCATGACACACATCATGGAAAAGTATCTAGCGAAAGTGATGACTTCATTTTGTGACAAATTTTCTTTAATACTCTCAACACAATACGGGTTTCGAAAACAAAAAAACACGACTTTGCTGATGGAAATTTTTTCGGATATCATTTATAAGGCTTTAGACAATAATCAAATCGCTATCGCACTGTTTCTTGACCTATCCCGAGCCTTTGATACCATAGATCATTCAATCATGTTAGCAAAGCTGCACAGAATGGGTTTTCGAGGGCCTTTTTATACCGTTCTCAAAAGTTACTTTACAAACAGATTTCAAATGGTGAAGCTTAACGGTCAAACAAGTGATCAAATTAAAATGAATTTTGGTGTTCCACAAGGATCTACACTGGGTCCTTTACTCTTCAACATATATATCAATGACATAGGTCACCTGAAGCTCAAATCAAATTTATTTCAATACGCAGATGATACTGCATTAATATTACCACACGAACAGTACAATCTCGCTGCTCCTTTCTTTCAAAACGATATAGTACAGTTAATGAGCTGGTTCACAAACAATTGTATTTTTGTCAATCGCAACAAAACTAAACTCATGTGTTTCCGAAGCCCTTATAAACAAGTTCCGTTTGATGTTCCCATATTCCTTCATGATCAACATTGTGATCAGTGCGACTGCAAAAAAATGGATACTGTTAAAACAACACCCTACCTTGGTTTGCATTTCGATGAAAACGTTTTATGGAGCTATCACATTGATCATGTCATACAAAAACTTCGCGTTGTTTCTGCATATTTATATAGACTTAAAAGTGGATGCGACGTTAATCTGAGGCGTGAGGTGTACCTATCATTGGGGGAATCTGTGATACGTTACGGAATTGCTATATATGGAACATGTCCTAAATACAAGCAACAAAAAATGGATAGTATCATTAATAGATGTGTTAGTAATATAGTATATGGGTCAAAACATGAACTGAAGGAAACCAAAGACAGAAAGAATGCAGTCGGACTATTATCGTTTGAAAATGTTTTTAAATTTGTCGTTTTAACCAGCCATTATTTTTCGAAGGAGTTCAAAGAAATACCCAACAGGATAAAAACACTCCGGCACACAGAAACCTATGCAATCCCAAAAATATATACAAACTACGGAAAAAAACAGAGAAACTATTATATTCCTGCGATATTTAATAGCTTGCCTAAGGACATCCTAAGCCTGTCATCTAAGAGGCAGATGTATAAAAAATAAAAGAGTGGTGTTTTT